CCCCCCCCCCATGTCCCCGTTTTCACTCTCATACCTGGAAGGCAACGATGTGCCCGGGACTCACGCCCTCAAGTTGAAAAGACATCACCGAGGGAGTGACATTGACAGCAACCCAGTCTTCAGATGTTTTGTTGGTGTCACTTTGGTTGGATATTTGATAGAAAATTTCAGATCTTGTTAAGACACCATTTTCACACTTAGGCTTATTCCACCTAAATTCCACCACAACTTCATTCTTATTGTGGTATTTTCCACTTGATAATATAAATATCCTGGGATTCTCTGGTGCCGACGGAACTGAAAGGCAAAGACACAGACGGGGAAGAAAAGATAGAAGGTTGACTTTTACCACTCACGGTGAGAGTATGGAGCAACTTAGTAATAAATATTTCTCATTCCAGATAGTTGAGGTATATCTATCTTGTTCTTAAATATCTTCAGGGGAGACTATTCCATAGATTTCTTCAGGAATCTCTTAATATTTCAGCAAACCAAATCCCTCTTACTACCACTTAGGTACAGCTTCTTGTCTGTGGCCTGTATAGAGAGAAGGTGATCGATTCTCCTTATAAAGTACAGTCTTTACTCTCATCCTCACAGAGTGGTTTAGTTTAAGCTGGAGGTAGAAATGGAAGTCACCAGGAAGGAGGGCAGAAACTCTATCTAGTAACTTCAGCCAGTTCAGGGCATAAAATATAACATATCAGGGATCTTAGGCCCTCTTACCTTGAAGTCTCCCAGGAGGCAGGATGTACCCCAACACTATGATTTGAGGGTTGTCATTTAGTCTAGAGCCAAACCAAGCAATTTACTCTTGCTCAGTCATTTAATTAATTTCTCTCTCTTAATCAAGAGAAATTTTTCTGCCTGATTTTCAATTCTTTCCACCTAATATATGCTTCTTCTTTCTTCAGACTCTTCCACAACGTCCCCTCCCACTCCCCTCTCCAATCACATTGCTTCTTAATGTTCAACACTCACGTTGTTATCCAATCTCTAGGCCTTCTTACATGGCACTCACATGGGAATATGGGACACGCCTCTTGCTTCATTCCTCAGGGTCCAGCTAGAATTTCCACTCCCTGAAGGACTTCCCTGGCCATATCAGTACATACATATTGCTCTCTCTCAAGTATGTTGAGGCAGCTTGATATAGGTGAAGATTTAGTAGTCTTGCCTGCTTACTCCGTGCACTTGCTACTCAGTCATTACTGTCTTATTTCTATTATCATTGGCAGAATGTGTTTTTCTACTTATTTTATAAGCGTTATCGTCTTATTTCATGTTAAGTCCCCCCAACTCTAATATAGGACTGGTGCACAGCAAGTGCTTGGTAAGTATTTGTTGATTTGAATAATTTCCTGACTATATTGTAAATTTCCTGATGGCAAAGGCCAAATCTGATCAGTCTTTCTTATTGGCCCCAACATCCAGCAGAGTGCTGATGACCCAGCCCTCACTACACCCCCTGATGGATGCAGTCAAGTCCATTTCCACAGGAGAATCCAACCAAGGATGACAACCCAACACAATCTCAAAGATAGCACACCTGACCCGAATGCTAACTGCTCCACAACCTGCCCAAGCTCCACTATGTTCCTGTTATGAGACTCATGGAAAAGTATTGTTGAAAGAATTTTAACAGAAAAAAAAAAATTACAATGGATGACCCTGCTTATCGAGCTCTTACTGTCTGCTAAGTCCTGTGCTAGGCAGTTTATATAAATTAAGTCAATATGATGCTATCATTTGCCAACATTTGCAAAAATGACTGAATGGAGATTTGATGAAACTATAGTGAAAAGCCCAGATTAAGTCACTTACTGGCGATTTTGCTTTGGGCAACCACTGAGCTTCTGTTTTCTCCTTTTCGTAATGAAGATAAAATCACTGTCTACCTACCTCAGAGCTGTGCAAGGATCAAATGAAGTGATGAAATGATGTTTCTGACACATGGGAGTATGTAATAAATGTTTAATAAAGACGGAGTGATACACATAAATATGCTTTTTACACTTGAAAGTGATAGACACATGTAAAGATATGGCTAGTATCCATTTTTAAATATATTCCAAAGAAAAACATTACATCTAGACATCAGTCATTCGCCTGTGGAAGATTCTGAGTTACCTTCTACGAGAACATCTCCCTATGAGCCTGCCTTCCACAGAACTCTCTCTGCTTAAATGCCCATTTTCCTTACAAAGCATTTCATATATTACCTGAAACATGCTTCCACGTCTTGTGTATCATTACAATCAAGTGAAATAGTTTTTTAAAAATCTCTGAAATATGCTTTTGGAATAAATTATGCAGATTTATTTTAATGGCGCTATGCTAATCTCCAAAAACTAATTGAAAAGGTACTGAATCTAAACACACCTACAAAAGTTATTCTAAAAAATTATTAACTATCCATTCTAGATCATGCAAAGTAAGATTCTTCCTTTTTATTTTTTAAAGATTTTAACCCCTGTACCTGTTTCAGGTGCTCGAAGTGACAGAGATGTTTTGGGGCCCTTTCCCCAGTAGGTGTAAGGAGTGACAGAGAGATTAAACAAGGCATAAGGCTCCAGACCTTCCACAGTAAATACAGGCAAAGGCTGTTGTTCACTAGCCAGGAACTAAAATATAAGCACAAAACATTATTTTCTTGGGGAGAGATTCATAAAATCTTTTATTCCAACTTAACTAAAAATTCCAAACTTCGGTTCACATGTAAAGTCAAACCTTGCAATTTTGGAAATGCTGATGTTGGCAAGTTCCAGTTAAAGAGTCTAACACTTTGGGCAGCTGTTAGCACTAATCACAAAGCAGCCAGAGACTGGCTGTAGACAAAGGATCTCAGGAATAATCCTGACAGATGCTAATGGAATGACCAAGGAGACGGACTTGGCTGGGTGAAGAAGGTACGGATCAGTGCAGGCAGGGCTGATGCAGACGGTAAGGTCTGCTTGAGAAATGGAAGCTACTAGAACCAAGGCCGTACCTTAGAAGGAGCGCTGAACTCCACACTGTAGAAAATGACACCCCAATCTACTGCCGGGACAGCATTCCACAGGACTCGAAAACTTGAAGCATTTCCTTCCATCCTAAATGAAGACTCTTGAACGGAATCTGGGATCACCTTGGGGGTAAAGGAGAAGTTCCCTGGGAGGAGATGAAAAAAAGAACAGAGGGAGAAAGAATTTAGGGTTATCGATCCTCACAGAAAACTTGGAAATTAATAGTAATTACTAATAGTACGAAAAAATGTCCTTTCTTTTAATATGTCCTGAAAATCATTTTTTTCCTGACCATTGCCAGCTGTACATTTGAATTAAGAGTAAACTGACTATAAGCAAACCAACAGAAACTACTAAAGCCTTTTTCCTCTTAAAACATAATTCTTAAGAAAAAAATCCCGACCTGAACATTTATTGAACAGGAAGTATGGGGGAGCGAGGGTAAACAGGATAAGACTGTGTACCTGGCAGAGGTTTGAGGGATGTCTGAATAATCGTGAACTGATTAAATTTGGCCGGTTCCAAAACAGAGACACTAGTTCGCTGACCAATTTCTTGAGCAGTTATAATCTTAAAGCCATTGATCCAGAAGAGCCGGCCACTGTAGTAGGTCAGGGCACTCTGGGAGATTTCTGAGGTGCTCCAGGCCGCAAACTCTGTGATGGTCGTCTCCCCAGCACTGTGAAGGGACACCCATTAGTGCTGTGCCTGGAGGGGGGAAGGGCTGGAACCTCAGGGGCTGGGGGAAACGTGTGTTTGTGCGTAGGAAACAGAGAAAATACCCTGCAACAGTAATGGGCATCATTCTCAGGTTAGCCTTAAGCTGATTTTTACAGTGTTCTTAAAGTAACCCTAAAGCAAGTTTTCTAGGGCCTTTCTTATTAATGTGATACTGCAATGGCCAGAGCGCCACACAGGTGTTAATAGGGACCTGCGATTCCTGGGCACAGCCTACACCAGAGGCCCAGCCCTCGGACGGTGGCTCGGGCTGAGAGGTGCCGGCCTCGCTCCTGGTTTCCTTGCTTCGTTACCTTACCTGTGTGGTCCTTTCTCTGTACCAGTCACAGCTCTCTGGTGCTTCAGTGACACTTACCAGCTTCTATAGCTTAGTCAGAATGCTTCCTTTCAGAATAGGGAATTCAAGTAAACAGACTGTTTTATTTTTTTATTTTTATTATTATTTTTTAAATTTTATTTTTGTTTAAAATATTACAGATGTCCCTTTTTCTTGCCTTTAGAGTTTTTTCTCAATGACAGGGAATTTTACAAGGTTGTTTTGTTTTTTTTACCCCATCACAGTGTTCAACATACTTTGCTGTAATTACTGTTGTTTACAGACCTATCTTTCCCCACAAGCACAACGCCTGCAACTGAGTGGATAATAGTAACTGTCTAATGAAAGCATGAATTCTCATGCCTTCTCCTTCACAACTGAGGGGCAAGTCAGTCTCTTCTCAATCAACTGCCTTTGAGGGACGTTACCTACCCCTGCGCGCGGAGAACGGCTGTGTACAGGTGAATGCACTGACTGTCTTGAACCAACCAATACAGGAGCCCATCGCCGAGGTCTAAGGTTAGAGCGATTACCTAAACAGAACATAAGGTAAGGAGACAAATCGAATACTCATCTGAAGGATAGCTTTGTGAGCAAGTCACACTGAAGCTACAGATTTCTCTTTAAGATCCTCTTTGGAATAATAAACTCAGTGTTGTTTTTCACCTTTCACTGAATATAAGTATGCCTATTTCAACGTAGTTTGCATCTAAGTGTACTGGTTTCCTAAAAAATCTTCAAAAGGCAGGGACTATTACTTCTGTATACTTACCTCCAGCATCACCTGGGAACTTGTAACTACAAATTCTCAACCACACTCCAGGTCCTACTGAATCAGGAGCTTGGAGCCTCTGTGTCATGTCAAGCCTCGCCTAAAGCAAGCCATAACTTTGGACTCTCCAGCCACATAAGCCAAAGAATTTCATTGTTTAAATCAGTTGCTCTCAAACACTGCTGCACATTAGAATCACCTGTGGAGTTCTCTAAACATCTCATTTCCCAGGTTGCATCCTATTAAAGTATGGTCTCTGGAGATGAAACCCAGTCCCCTGCATGTTCGCTAACTCCCCACATAATTCCAATGTATCACCAAGTTTGAGAAACAATGGTTTAAACCATTTTAAATTGTATCTTCTGTTCATTATAACCAAAACCACCCTGACACATTTTAAAAATATAATACACAGAGTTTTTATGTGTTATAACTGGATAAAGTCATATATATATAAAGTCCTATTTCTAGCTGACATCTGAAAACCACTTCTTACTACTCTCTCTTTGACTTCTTGTTACCATCCTGTCTTAGTTTTATGCCCAACTGTCTAGAAGAGGCCTGAGGAAAGTGTTTCTCCTATGGACTAGGCTGCGTGAGATACAAATTACAATCTAAGAGATCTTTCTTGCTTTCTTGGCTTTATAGGTATTCTTCAAAGAAGCTGAGATGGCCCGAGTCTGACCTCAGAGTAGTGGGTTCTCCCTGTGGCAGTCTAGGCACTGAGAGGTATCAGACAGGATTAAGGCCAATGACTATATTTTTAGCATCACACAAATACTGTAAATTTTTCTACAAATAACTGTCTCACTATTTTATCAGAACTGTTGATTGCAAAGTATTTTATGACTCCGTGATAAATCTGTAACATTCAGGACAGTGACATGGAGAGAACTTTGCCTGGCGCAAAATGCGTTGCCTTCAAAATGCCCAGTAGCGTTAATGGAGGCAGAGGGATAAGACATCACGCCGTGGACCAGAACACGGGTTTCACAGGCAGCAGCAACACTCGCCGCCTCTGACAGGGTTTGAGTAGGAGTTTAAAGAAAGGTGTATATCACCAAGCATGCTGAGAAATCTAAGATCTACTCGTTAGAAAAGTCCCAGGGCCACTCCGGAGCTTTCCTCAGTGGAAACAGCTCCAACAACCAGCTCAGAGCCATGGAGAAATTACTGACAAAGCCCCAGGGATAGGAAGTTACTCTTGAGATATTACCTTTAATATGTTTTTACAAAAATAAAAGTGCTCTCCCCAAACATTTATTATTGAGACATAAAAAATACTTTCTTTGTATTCAAACTCAAGCAGCTCCAAAATTTTTTTTTTTTATAGGAATGATTAATTTCTGGATATGGTGTGTAAATATCTATTTCTTTTAAATATCTATGTTACAGTTTCTATATGCACATCAGGTCCCTTTAAATGTCTTGTGAATTATTATTCATATATCCTATGAAACTGAGGATCAACTGACTCAATAATTTGTTTCTTTGTTTATAAATGACTTGATATATCTGTATTATGCATATTTTACTTCCATTAACAAAAAAAATTTAAACATTTTAAAAATTTGAGAAATATCCTAGATAGAAAGAGTATGAATGATTTATTTCTTCTTCATGCTTTTCTGTAATTTCTAAATTTCCTACAGTAGACATATATTACTATTATAATCAGAAAAAACAAAATGCAGAAATTTAGATGGATACATAGAAGGTAGCTAAACAGGATCAAGAAAACTAGGCACTGATTCTAGAAACTGAGGAAGTAAAAATAATATTTGTTTTAGAAATATTCCTGTATCAGGTTGTTATTTAGGCTGAGTTACAATAATAAGAGCTTAACTATTAAGCAGTTACCATGTGTTTAGAACTATTTTCATTACTTCCCATGAATTATCTCATTTAATCTTTGCAACAAGCCTGAGTGGTAACTGAGAATAACTGTTAATATTCCCATTATTCAGATAAGAAAATACACAGAGAGAAGTCAAATGATTTGCCTATGGGTCAGACAGTTTCTAGAGCAGTCAACTTCCAAAACTGATCAAAAATAAAAAACACCTAATTACTACCCAACAAGTTTAAATATACGCAACAGAATTCATGAGTCTATAAAAACAATGAGAAAATAAAACGCTTTTAAGTGTGGACCATTCGAGGTAAGGCAAACTACAAACATTTCCGTGTTATATTTAAAATTTTTAAACTAAACACGTATGACAATTAAATAAAAGTTAGAGAATTTTGCTTACACCAAGACCTTACTGTAACAATATTTCCTTTCAGATTCTACCTTAACCACCCACAATAAGCAGAAACAGTACTATCATAACTACAACGGCACTATTCAGAATTATTAAATAATCAGATTTTATTTCTAACTTGTCACCTTTTTCCCAGAAAACCAGGGCTGTGCCTGCAGTATAAGGGAACTTTCTCCATTCAGCCTGGTGCTTTCAACTGAGTACAGTGTGGTCCAGTAGAGATATCCACCAACCGAATCCACCGCCATGTCATTGACCAGCAGCTTCACATGCGTCACTATGTCTGTGTGTCCTGTCAACACAGACTGCCTTTGTATCTATAAAACATAATCACATGATCAGTTAAAGATTTTCAAATGACATCATGATTTCTTTTTTCTTTTTTTAAAAATCTTTATTGATTGGAGAGAGAGGAAGGAAGAGAGAGAGAGAGAGAGAGAAACATCAGTGATGAGAGTCATTGATCGGCTGCCTCCTGCACGCCCCCTGCTGGGCATCGGGCCCGAAACCTGGGCCTGTGCCCTGACCGGGAATCGAACCGTGACCTCCTGGATCCTAGGTCGATGCTCATCCGCTGAGCCGCGCCGGCTGGGCTGACGACATGATTTCTGAATAGTTTACTGCAGTCGTTATTACATGGCTGCATTTATCCATTCATTTTTCAACCACAAATATGTATTGGCAGTATGTGCTGGGCAGCGTGCTAAACCTTGTAAACATAATAGCCACAGTTCTTGCCCTCATGGAGCTTAAAGACAAATATTAAATAAAGAATAGCAATGATAGTACACTGGTATGAAAAAAAAATCAAGAAAATAACATTCAAGTCACTGATGTGCATGGGCACTGCCAGGCTTTAACTTACCACGTATGTCTTTCCAGCCCAGTAGAGAAAGTGACCCAGCCACTCATAAGCTAAGGCCCCTGCTCCCACGATGTTGGATATGTGATAATTCTCTGAGATGTCCGTCCCATTCAGCAGCGACACATAAACGTCCCCTTTCATGTCACTGTAGTAGAGGCTGTTGTTATACCAATCCATGTCTCAAAACAAAGTGAATTGGAAGCAGTTATTTTTTTATGTGCTGACATAAGCATAGCAAGTCAAGAAATCACACATGCCCCTGAATCTAATTATAAAGTATATGCTGACATAGATGGTTACTAGAACTTCAGGGATTGGTCAAGAATATTTCAATAATATTATCCCAAAATCTTTACCCCTGGAACTAGAGAGAGGAACTAATATTCATTAAGCATCTCTTCTTTCCTGAACTTGGTCCAAGGCACTTCTACATATTTCACTTAATTCTTAAAACAAAGCTATGAAATAGGAATTATCCCCATTTTTGACATGGGAAACCTGAGACTCAGTGAGATTATCTATTCTGCCTGAGATCTCACAGGTGCAAAGAGGGGGAGCCAAGATTCAAGCCAACTCCAAAGCAGCCTTTCCATTAGTGCCACACTATCTCCTAAGCCCAACTCCTTTGTTGGTCAGAAATGCTGTTGTACTTTTAATGGCCAACCAAATAGACTGAATAATTAGATAATTATAGAAGATGCCATCTTCTGGCAAGGTCACTATATATCGCCCTATAATGAAGACTTTTCTTCATTCTAATGTCTTCTGGCAAAATTACCTACTTGTTACTTAACGATACTATTCGTCAGGAAATTCTTATTCTTTATTTATATCTTCATGCAGCCTTTCCATGCTCCGGTCTTACAGCCAACTCACAATAAATTACTGAAGCATAGCTGTCTTAGTGGAACATGATAGGTTGTTACTGTGAGACAACATGGATAGATTAAAATACATGAGAAGGATATTGAAGCCTTCCTGAAATGGGCATAAATCAGTAAGTAACCTCACATTTTATGAAAGAATAAATAGCATCCCTACTTGAGAACTAACATTTTCTTAATACTACCACTGGCAGTATAGTTCAGTCAAGGTTTCCTCCTTTCGTTATTGACCTAATACCAAAACACTCAATTCTTTTGATTTATTGAATAGCTTAGGAAGTCCAATGAGTAAAAACCTGTCATTCCAAGTGTAAAGGGACTTGGTATTTACCTGACACATTTCTTATATCAGAGGACAAGAATTCTCCTGGGCCAAAGCTATTTAATGGTTTACTCCAAAGCCCATCTTCTTTGACAGCCATGATAAACGGTGGTTCTGTAGCTATTTGATAAAAAAGAAAAAAAGAAAAACAGAAATTGAAAGAAATATCACAGAAAGCACAATTTTTTAGGCACACATCTTATACCCTAAGGTTTCCTTTATAAAGTAAAAGAATATCAACATTTTAAAAATACTGTGGAAGACTATGAACAATTGTATCAATTGTACCTGCTTAATAGAATTACATATCATATTAAACATACTTTCTGATTTTTATGTAAATATTTGAAATATGAAGAAAAATGAGTGGAGATATTGCCTCCATAGCAATGTCATGACCATGGCAGATTTTTTTTTTTTGCTTTGGCTATGGGTTGCCACAGTTCCATTCAGAGCACCCAGAAGCAACTGTGATAACAACAGCAGAATAAATGGTACAATTATCTTTCCATTTTCTTTCTGCCAAGAGGATGGAATTTAGTATAATTCACAGCCCCTCAACTTCTCTCCCCGTGACCTTCAGAGTTCAAGGAGTGCTATGGCTTAATAAACCATTAGAAAGGAGAAAACCATGAAGAAGTAAATTACATTGTTACCACAAACTATCTTGGAAAGTTTAAAATAGCGGGCTAGACACATAATATCACACAATGTGTTATGTGTTTTCCTAATCTCAGATAAACTCATACTCCAGAGATCATGACACCCTCATTCTAATTCCTTTACCACCTTGGAGTGATTAATTTTAGGGAACACAGGTAGTAATCCTTTTTTTGCCAGAATCACTCCCTAAATCAAGAATGTTTTCTCACCTGGCACCAGGGTAGTACCCACCGAGGGCTCTGACCAAGGGCCTGGCCCCTTGGGAGAACTTGCTCTCACAGAAACCTCGTATTTTGTAGCACTCTGCAGCTCGGGGACATTAAGCACCGTCCCACTTATGTTAGAGAATACACGTGTGGTTTCAGGGAAGTCCTGGGTTGATATTTTCACTTCGTAAATCCAGTTCTGCCAGGCGGAAGGGCCTAATCAGAAGAATTATCCAATATTATTGGCCAGGATGACATCAGCAAGGGCAAACAAAAGACTGTCAGTAAATTCATCTACAGCCTCACCTTGATGGGAGGGTAGTTGAGCAGCAATACCTGTTCCCCACTAATCATTAGGGTTAGTTTGACAGCATGTCTAGAACAGTGTCCATTCCACCCACGCCACTCGTTTTGCTTATTGATGGAGAAATTATCCCCAACAAATCAGAGGACACTGTTCCCCTGTCAAAGCTGTGTGCTTGGCTGCAGAGACTGGTCAGAGGGGTGCTCTCTCGCACCGCCAGGTGGAACCAGGCTCCTAACAAACTGCTTTGTGGTGACTCTAATATAATCCCCGGTGCTTGCAGAGCACCTTCCTTCCAGAAGCCAAACAATACAAAATAATTTGCCTATTCTTNCTAATATAATCCCCTGTGCTTGCAGAGCACCTTCCTTCCAGAAGCCAAACAATACAAAATAATTTGCCTATTCTTTTCAGCTGTCTATGAGATATACATCAAGCAGGCATAATTAATCTTGTCTTAAAGTAGAAAATAAAGAATGTTTGCCAAATAGTCTAGGAGACCAGGGGTTGGCAAACTACAGTGCTGGGGCCAAATATAACCCACTGCCTGTTTTGTATAAATCAAGTTGTATTGGAACACAGCCACAGCTACTCATTTACATATTATTTATGGCTGTTTCCACACTACAAAGGCAGTGTTGAGTAGCTATATTAGAGACCGTATGACCTCAGAGCTGAAATATTTACTGTCTGGTCATTCATTTAAAGAAAAAGTTTGCTGACATCTGTGCTAGGTGTTCTACTTATGCATCTTAATTTAATCTGCATGACAATCCCATAGAAAGTCATATTGAGTATCCTCATTTTCCAGTAGTGGAAATTGATGCATGGACTTGTTAAGTAACTTGCCCAGGGTCATTCTGTTAATAAATGGCAAGACCCGCCTTTGCAGACTGGCTCCAGAGCCCACCTACTTACCCACCACACAGACTGCCTCTCCAGAGACAGAAGTTCATGATGGACACAAAATCTCAACCCAAGCACTCTATCCCCCTGGCTAATATTTACTCAGACTAGAATGTCAGTGCCTGGCTCCTAATAGACACTCAATAAATGTTTGAACCAGTCTGTTGGGATAGAAGTGGAAAATATAGAGAGCCTCCCAATACAAAACTAATAAATGCAGAATAAACATGTAAAAACTTTTTTGAACTAAGTAGCACTTGTGGTTGATGAATGAATAATCACTTATGAGTTCTCAAAACTGAGTGAGAGTGTCAAGCAGTTCAGGCTTTCTTTCCTTTCCCCAGGGAGGCCATAGGGGCGCTGGGGAGGGGGCACTCACTGGCTCCGATGGCGAGGGCCGGCGGCCTCCACTGAGCCAGGGCCTGGTGGGAGCCAAACAGCACCGAGAGCTGCTGCGGGCGGGCCGGCAGGGGGTACGGCTGGGTGTACGTGCTAAGGATGACCAAGTTCCCAAAGCCAAACTCTTCTATGTGTGTCAGGTCGCATCCCACGATGAACTCATTGAAAGACAGAGCGTCCTGCTGGAAAACCGCCTTGCCATCCGTGACAAGGAAGTCATCGTTTTCACAGGCAAAGCTCCTCACGTCGGCAAAGGGCACATGAGGCAGGACCAGGTGGGAAGCAGAGCCATCCAGAAATGTTGACATGAAGACTCGGGTGGTGTCGTTGAAGTAAACGATTCGCTTGGACTGTGGCTTTATTGCAAAGTCCTTTAGTGAGCGACTCTCCACGATACGCACGGCCTCCGAGCCCCGACCCGACGGCACCAGGAGATCTGCTCTATAAATGCCATCTCGCAGGAGATAGAAGACATACCTGAGCGGGGACACGAGGGGCAGATGAATCACCTCCTCAGCCCACTGCTTTATCAGCTGTGCAATCAGAATTAATAAGTCACTGCTATCTCCAGAGTTAATAAGTGCAGGGCTTCCCAAGGGGCAAAAGAGTAAAGATATGTACTAAAGGTACACTATTCTTTTAAGTTAGAAGTTGAAACACTGGAAAATGTCAGCCTCATTTATAATGCTCAGCATCCTCAGTATTATACAGGACTTTTTAGAATCATAGAATTTAAAAACAAAAAGGGTCTTTAAAGGTTTTCTAAATGGAACCTACTCTTAAAGGAAAGCATATCATATAATGGTTACACAGCGAAACATGTTATTTGTTATAAAATACTTTTCTCCAAAAAACCCCACATATTTTTAAGTCTAATTCTGTCAATAAATTTCCCATGCATTGTAAATGATAAAATGGAAGAATGCAAAAACATTTCAAGCATTTTTTTTAAAACTTGTTATTATTTTACCATAAATACATATTTAGCAAAACTACTTGGCATTTTGTAGTAGACTAAGCTTTTTAAAATATTTACCATTGAAGCAACAGGGTTACCACTCTACAAATCATGAAGAAATACCACACAAATGAGCAAAACAGCCAAGAAGAACCACCTAGTAGTCAGAAGAAAGGAGCCAATGGAAGAATTTTGAAAAAACACATAATTTGGAGCCAGACATCAAGGTAGTGATGCTGGTGAATTTTTAATAATGAAAAAGGAAACACTGATGAAACATTTCATTGATAATCAAATCTGTCAGAATTTTAACTAAAGCATAAAACTAATAATTAGAATGTAGCTAATTTTGGACTTGTGGTCATGGCAACAGATGCTGACAACAATGTACCTTTGCTTAGTAAATCTTTCTTATCACAAACCCATGGATTGGCAGGATTCGACCTCTCATCACCGCTGTCAAATCATCGACCTCATCCTGTTCAGTCCCACTCTTGTCGTCCCGAAGACTATTCCAAACCTTTATCAACACGCGCAAGACCCTGCGCTAGAACATTCCCTGAGATATAAACTCCATGTTGAGATAGGAACCTATGTTCTTGAGCTTAAGGGGGAGTTGTGGCAGGCAGAAAGCAGAAGCGACTTCATCTTAACTCCCTGCTTTTGTTTCCCAAATTCAAATTGTTAAGGGAATTTGGAGGGGCCTCAGAGTAGACAGAAGGAAAAAGATATGGGGCGAAGATTACAGTTCTTATACTGAAGCCGGGAGAAGAGCATGTTTCTTTCTTTTCTTAAAAACATATATCTTTTACTGATTTCAGAGAGAGGAAGGGAGAGAGAGAGAGAGAGAGAAACATCAATAATGAGAGAGTCATTGATCGGCTGCCTCCTGCACGCCAACAGGGGATCAGGCCCGCAACGGGGCACGTGCCCTGACCGGGAATCGAACCCCCATCTCCTGGGTCCTAGGTCGATGCTCAACCGCTGAGCCATGCCTGGCTGGAAGCAGAGCCTGTTTCTAATGTTCATTGCCATTTGGGGGGGGGAAGAAAAAGAAAAAAAAGATGTGTAGGGCTGGGGTGCGGGAGGAAGAACACAGAGGTAAGAGGACGAGGCGGGGAAGGCGGGGAAGGGAAAAGGTCTATGGTAAGTACAGGCCCAGTGAGCTAATAATTCCATGGTGGAAACAACAGCATGAAGGAAACCATGTTTAATAGCAGGAGAACCAACTATCTCACGTCCCTGGGGAGATGATTAGGAGACAGGCCCTGGGGCGGGAAGTCACATACTGGTTTCATCCCCAAATAGCTGTGTGGTCTTGGGCAATTACTAAGTCACCCTGTTCTTTGCTTTCCTATTTATAAAATTAGGATATTAAAAGTACCTACATCATAGGGGCTGAGCAAGGGTTAAATGAACTATTGAAGTAATGCGCTTGAAATCACATATTAAGTGACTAATAACTATTAATTATCACTATTATTCCTAGCCACATTTCAAAACCTAAGCACAAATCAATCTTAAATTTATGGAAAAAAGAGCCACCAAAGACCTTGCTGAGATGCATTTTGAGAAACTGATTTAAGTTCATTATCCTCAGAATGAGTAGTTTTGTGTAATTGCCAGCAACAAAGGTACACTTCATAGGATTTTAGACTTCTACAAATGAGGAAAATAAGACCCAGAGTCCAAAGGACGCCCTACATTGCAGGGTTTTAAGTTTTTTTCTATAATTCAGTAATTCTTTCAAACCTAAGATATTAAAATAAATATCTAGTAAATTATGAATTAATATGACTAGAAAGGCTTGATTTTAAATCAATAATGAGCAATCTTTTATTCAGGAAGGTTGTTTTGTGAAAAATAAAAGGTATTATGGACTGTTGTTGTTTTTTCATTCAAAATGAAAATAACTTTATTCCTATAGGAAAGAAAAAGTGTTTAATCTTACAAACATTGGCTTGCTTATTAGGTACTAACCTATAATTATCTGGTCTTTGTTAGGAAATAAACTACAAGGTAACTTCCTATGTTTTCATTCTGCACATTTATGTGCATTTGGAGATCACAAAATACATTCACAGTGAACACGTCATTTTAGCCTCACAATAACCCAGAGGGGTATTGTCATCTCCATATGGATGGATTAAATAAAGGTCATAGACATGAAGTTATGTGCTGGAGGCGCTATTGCAATTTAACAGCACAACTGAGCTAAAATGTGTCCACTTCATTTGCAGCAAAGGGAAAAATAGTTATTTGTAATGGAAAAGTTTTACTTGTCGTTAACCATCCATTCTTGTCTCCTAGGAATTCTTGATCAGCCTCTTGATAGATTTAAGAACCAGACCAGAGAAATTAACTAGTGCTGAGTTGCTCAGCAAAAGAAATGGTACAATGAAAGGAGGAAATAGAGCAGGAAGGGCTTCTTTGAGGGGGCAATGAGACCCTGAGTTGCACCATAAAATAGTGAGAGTACTTAGAACTCAGGTCTCTGAGTCCCAGACAAGAGGTCTTTCACATATACCCATATTTTACTGTGAATGAGAAAGGGAAGACTACCTAACTAGTGAAGCTGTGGATCAAGTCTGAAAGAAACTCCCTCCTGGCCCTATAGAATGAACACTTTACCTGGATTCATTTAAATTTGAGATAAGATACATAGATTGACCCATCTGGTACTGTGATGCTTTATTAGCAAGCCAGTTTCCCGAAGTTTCTTGCCAATTCATACTTACAAGGCTAACTCACTTACCCATTGTATGAATCAGCCACAATTTTTTGAGGTGCAGTAATTGAGGGAGGAGTGATTTCCTCAATGTTTGAGCAGTTTTCTAAGTCACAGACATAAGCCTAGGGAATCAAAATTTCATCAGTAGGATTAGTGTCTGTCTGTACGCAGTTTGGCCAAATATTTCCTGAGCATCTGTTCTATGCTTGGAATTGTGCAGGTCACTGAGCACTTTCTGAAAACATGGAAATGCCCTTAAAAGTCAGTTTTACATCCTGTAATGTAATGATTTCATATCCTGTTGGCATCAATGAAATACAAGTACCTGTCTTAGGAAGGCACTCAACTATGTTTAATAGTTACGCCCATCCAAGTTTATGGATTTCCAACCATATGGACTGCGATAAGCCTGCCGTTTTGAAGAAAGAAACTTGAAACACCTCAAGAGTGTTTTCTCACCCAGCCGGACGTGGCTCAGCGGTTGAGCATTGACCTAGGATCCAGGAGATTGCAGTTCGGTTCCCGGCCAGGACACATGCCCGGCTTGCGGGCTGGATCCCCAGTCAGGGGCATGCAGGAGGCAGCTGATCAATGACGATTCTGTCATCATTGATGTTTCTATCTCTCTCTCCCTCTCCCTTCCTCTCTCTGAAATCAATAAAGAAAGATATATTTTAAAAAATAATAATAATAATAATAATATTTTTTTAAAAAGACTGTGTCTTCTCAGATTTCAGTAATATTGGTTTTTGGAGACCTACTAAAGTTACCCCTGGTTATTATATAATTTAAATTTAAAATGCTTGCAGCTAATTTTGACCATGATGGGCAGTCCTACCCACTGATAAAACATGTACCACCACTATCTTATGGAAGATGAATTATCATTAGCATAAACTCATGGCTCTAAAAATCACAATAAAGATGATTTAATGGTAGGTCAAGATTAGTACTAGGACAAGTCTAGACCTTCCTATAGGCCAGACCTATGATTCATTGCTAACCTAGTTTCTAAGACATAGTAAATAATCAATGAGTATTTACTGAATGAAAGAACTATGTTTACTTATAAATATACCATAACATACATGTGAATATCAGTATCTGGTTATTGACTTTAAAGTCTCAGACTAACCTGCTCATCCATGATGAAATACATTCTCTGATAAAGCCAGTCTATGGAGATGGAAGAAATTAATCCTGAACCTCTGTAAAAAACTCTCAGGTCAGACACATCAGACATGTTGGAAGCCTCCTTTGCCCATATGAGAGATCCTCCAGAGAAATAAACAGCTTGCTGGTGGACATTAACTGATATTCCTAGAAGACGAGGTAAATACATGTGTGTTATTATATAGTGCCAGACAAAAAACCTACCTAAAAGGTAATTTATTTCTTTAATTTTTAATAAAGAGATTAAAATAGAAGTCAATGTGGATCTTTCTTTTCACATTAAGGAAACATCTCCCTCTATTATACTGACCTGTAATATTAGGGTGTGTAGCATCTGACTGGAGGCACTGTGCTTCATCTACTAAATGTTTTAAAGATCTCTTTCTTAGAGAAGATTTTCTGGATAAAAAGAGCCACTGTTCCTCTTCTTGAACTAAAACAACAACACGATTTACGGAGAGACAACCCCAATGATATGCATATTGACACAAACAGATCAATGCCACCCTCCAAAGCAAGGGGACTAGCACTCGAAAGAGACTGGTCAGATTTTCTCTGAAGGCACTGGGGCATTTCAACTGTGGTATAAATCACATTATTCTATGATTGGGGTAGGGAGTACAGAGTCAGTCAAGTGGGTGGTATGTGTGTGTGCCCCTAAATGCCCTCAAAATAACATCACATGGGCATCACTGTTCTCAAAGCCTTGCCCCTAGAGAAGGTCAGCCCCTTGTGCGCAGCCATGAGAATTTGACTGCTTGTGGAGGTGGTCCAGCCGAGGCCGGGGTGCACTGTCACAAAGCCCGCACACACAGAGACAGATGTTGGTTGTCTTCAATTTGTCCTCAACATCTCTCCCTTTGAGGCAGGAGATAAATCCTTGGAGAAATGCAATTTGAGGACTGCAGAGCTCTGCTTGATGTCCTGCTCCACTGGAGACTGATGAAAGGTGTGCTGGTTGGTGAATGCTTTTAGGGCAATTAATAAATGTTATGCAATAATCACAGCAACGACAACCTTAAGCCCGCTCTATATTTGACTTGACCTTTGGACGTGTGTTTTGCATAGCAAAAATACCTCTCCTTTCCTAGAGCCTAGTAACAGCCAAAGAAAACAAAGGCTGGTGACAGATGACATTCAATCCCCGTGGGCATAGGTGTGCACAGTTAGGTAAGGGGCAGTAAGCCAGCAAATGGGACTTTAGTGAAAACAGACAGCAGGCTTCTAAAATTCTTAATCTCTGTGTTATTCAAAACTCTTTTACTAGTTCCCCGTAAATATTTCCGGTGCTTCTTAGAAAGCATTCTCATTTATTATTTTGCTCACTTAGATATCATGCAATAAGTATTCAGTCTCTCGAGGCAAATGTTAAAATGCCAAAGGCCAAAAAAAGGTACTTATAAAATAATAACAAAAGCTAATTTGGTAGACTGAATATACAAAATGGTAAAAAATTATTAAGCCCAGATATATTTGAAAACCTTAAGGAGACTGGAAGAAAAGATATCTGGTATATATTAAATGATGATACACAATATAAAATGGGGGTTAAGGCAGAAAGATTATATGTTATCCCTAAGTGTGTAAATGTGAGTCATAGTCACTAGTGATTTTACCTGAAACCAAGGATTTGCTTGAGGCCATTTTTTAAAATCCCTGAATGTTTTAATTTTTAAATTCCTAAATTTTAATGTGAATTCTTTCCATCTAACAACTTACTTCTATTTGTCAAACTGAAAGCTTACCAAGTACCAAAAAGACAGTGTCCATTTGAGTAGAAAAGGTGGGATCTGGATGAACACCAGATGACCCAGGACCTCTGAAATCTGAACCCACCCTTGCCACCCCAAGTTCTGTGTAACAGAAGAGCACCTTGGTCCATACCTGCTGGGGATGAAGTGGTAATACTAGATTCTGCTTCTGGCCCCTCACCAACTTCATTTACTGCTGCAATAGAAAACCTATTCCAAAGACAATTTGGAGAGATGTGTTTCACATGGCATGGTGTGAACAGGAGATAAAAATAGAAGGAGCAATACTGTGTTATTTGGGGGACAATGTGACAATGCATGTATCTAGTTACTTGGTGCCAGTGCTGGGCACTAAAATGACCATCAATCACATCCTTGTTTGCATTTCCCATAGAACAGCTCAGGGTCACAGAGGTCAAAAACTGAACTCTGCTATCTGCATGACCCCCATTCCTACCCTAATTTAAAGGGTCTTAGTAAATGCTAGAGAAGCTAACAATAATAAAATAATAACCCTCAATGGTTAATAAAAAATACCATTAACAGAATTTCACCTCCTTACTTTTTTTATGTTGAATTAAACATCATGGTATTTATGATGTCTTTTATTAGCCCATATTTATAAGGATCCTCTGAATATAATAGAAATACCTGAGAATGTTTCTGCTTAAGATGGTGATCTGGTAAGCATGCAAACTTGAGGAAAAACACAATACCTTCACCCCAACAGTACATATTCAATGAAACTCCTCAAAATACATTTAAACTATTTTTTAGCCACATTGCTTAAATAATTCTCACGCCTGCAGCCATGCCGGTTACATTTTCTTTGCATCACTTAATTCTTACCTGTAGGTGGTATTTGGTAGAGTTGAGTAAAACTGGAAACTGGTTCTCTGTGTTCCTGAATCTAATTTTTGGTTTTTGCTGATCAGCCTTAAGTTATAACCCAAAATAGGCCCGCCTGGGAACTGGGGTGGATCCCAACTCACTTCCACGGTGTCAGGACTTGAGCTCTCAATATTTCTAATGAAAGGAGCAGTTTCAGGAACTAGAAGAGATAATGGTGACAGGATGAGCAGGAACATGTACAGGGCCTATGTTTTTAAATAGGATAGAAAACAATGTCCTGTTTTTTTGAAAAGTACATAAGTGAAATACTTTTATTAATATTCCAAATAAGTGACAGAGAGAAGGTGGTAAGATATCTATGAGCTACAACTCTTGATCCTAAATCTTACGAGTTAGCTACTTTCCCAAGGGACTCTTTCAAACGTTATTGTCCTCACTTCTACTTTATGGACTAGAATTAAATGCGGAACTATACAAATAGGATAAATATTCTAAGAAAAAGTTGTCAAAAATCTCCAGGCTTAAAAGAACTGAATGTAGGATGAGACCAAGTCGGGAGGGAGAAGAGCATCTGTAACAAAACTGAGTCAATGATTAGCACTAGTTAAAAGAATTAAGTCCCGGGGCCTTTTCACACACTAGAGGGCTATGCCTGACTAGTTCCAGCTGAAGATATGGGTTCAGATAAGCCTGAGCTAGAACAGTCTGCTTCACCTTTGCTGGCACCACCCCTGATGAGCCAGACGACCTTCCTTCCCCCGGATCCCAGGGCCCCTTGGAATCCAGGTTGACTGTACTTTAGCTACACTCCCTCCCTTGCAGAGAATTAAAGGAGCATGAATTAATTAATTCAGCATCCACTCATAGACTTCAAAAGCTACCTAAGTGGCACAGAACAGAAAGGAAACAAATAATCTAACATGCATGTCTCCACCTACTTTTCCCAGCCCCTGAAACCACACTCTTCTACTTCCTCTTTCCACAGAAAGATGTACTTTGATGTCCCTTTGCTCTTTAGTAGACTTCTCGCCCTCTGAACATTTTGACAAACGCTCTGTATCACCCCTGATTCGTTAGAGTTGGGAGAAATGAGGTAGTTCAGCCCTCACACTGGATGGGTTTTTAAAAAGGGAAAGGGGGGTAGGGGGCATCTGTAATAGTATCAACAATAAAAATAAAGTTAAAAATAAAATAATAAAATAAAATAAAATGGCCTTTAATCGACGCAGCCCTTCTCTGATACAACCCCTCCCCGACTCTCCGACTAGTCTTTGGTAAACACAAACATTGCTTCACTCCGCTGTTCTGTACACTCCGTCCCGGTGGTGAAGAAGGGAGTAGGAATGACCAACCACTGAATTATGTCAAAAAGTTTAACTCATTAGGGTTAATGCCTAGATATCATCTGCTCCACTTCGAGCAAGTTAGATACCACCTACATGGTGCAATTATTGTCCAAATTTTCCCCACAAAAACCCTCCCTGAAAGGCTGGTCAGGTCAGGCAAGGTATTCCTTGCCCAAAACCATTCTGTTGGGTTAAGAAGTGATCTACAGAAGGGCCCTGATGACAAGGCAGTCATGCCATCTAAAATCATATCATTCCCACAGCTAAACGAGAATAGGGCCATGAGGCAACGGAACACACGCAGGTAACTTTATGTTTTGATGTGGCTAGAAAAGTGCGAGAGAACTGAAGCATGAGGTGCTATCCATGGAAAGGGTACCTGGGGCACCTGGAGGGCAGGTGGGCTTGCATAGCCAGGAGAAGGGCCCAGAGAGGGAAAGCAATATTTGCTCCTTTAACTACTTTAATTTGACCAGCCCTAGGCCCTGGCCCATGGTATCTCTCCAGCACTGGAAAATGACCCAGCACAGTTGAAGTACACGAGGCACTTCTCTGAACAAAGAAGGCTGCATGTATTCTACTCGGATCTAGAACGTTGCAAACATGGCCCCAGCCCAGTCCCAGTGTCAGCTTGAGGGAATGGTCACGGAATAACCAGCAGAAATGGCCACACTTACCCGAAAATCAACCAGCAAGAAAGGGACACTAACCGGGGAAGGGGGACATGCCCAATCAGCTTCATCTGTCCACTGTGCCTACCTAGGCCCAAGGCCTAGTTCAACCTGAGGGCCCCTGCGCACAGCTGAATCTCCGGAGCTGAGGGCTGGGGCAGCTGGCGTCTGGCCTGGAGCAAGCCCTCACAGGTGCCCTCAGCTAGCTGAGCGTGAGGGTGCCACACAGCTCTCCTGCCCCAGGCATCCGTGCACCCTTCTCCTGATATGAGTCACATCTTCAAAAGGAGAGACCAAAAAAGGCTCCAACATGCGCACTATTTCTTTTAGTCATCTCCGATAAAACGTATTATAAAATGTATTCTAAGAACCTCCCAGCTGGTCTCTCTACCTCTGTACTTTGCAATCTCTTTCATTCCCTCAATCAATTCCATGTGTTGTTGCCAAAATTGTCTTTTTAGGGAGCGTGTAAAACAATTGCTTTTCTGCTTTAAAACCTCCCACAACTCCTAACCGAGCCTCACTCTGACCACCTTTTTTACACTGCAACCTGACTCTCCTTCCCCTCAACCCCCCATTTCCAACCCCCCAAAGGACAGACCCTGCTCCAAACATTCCCCTTACCAGGGTGCACAGCACCTTCCCACTTACAATATACTTTCCTTACTTATTATGCTGACGGCTTAATTTCTCTTCCACCGAAATGGGAGCTCCAGAAGACCAGGGATTTTTGCTTTGACCACAGAGGTTTGATGAGCACTTGGACCACTACTTGGCACATAGAAACTCAATAGTTGAGTGGATCAATTAATGAAGGAATAGGTTTATTTCATTGTTTAAAATAAAAACAAATTAAACCAAAGCTTTGGAATAATCTATTTCCTAAGCCACATGTGCATGCCATACCTCCATAAGGATGGGTCCTGTAACTGGGACTTGAGGGAGAATACAGCTGCAGCTGGGCCGTGAAGATCCAAACCACTCGAAAAACATATTCAGTGAAGGGATGCAGGGGCTCTACCACATATGATGGCTTGGACACGGCCTGGATCAACAAGAGAGCAATCGTCAGCACTTGCAGGATCACCACCATACACTGTGACTCCAGGACACAGATTAATTTGGAGACGATGGGTGGCTGTTTGGATAAGAGGTGACGCGGCACCTGCCAGACCAGATGAAATGAAGGTCTGGAGCTTAGAGCTGAGCCCTCCAGGTGTCAGTCTGAATAATTCACATAGAGACTCTTCCCTTCTTCAACAGTGCGAAATCATGGGTTCAGTTATTTCACATTTACCACAAGGATTTACTTTAATTTTTCTATGTCAATATTCTTGGTGTCTTGGGAATATTTTTCTCTGAACTGGCTCATGCTTTCCTAAAAGGGACAGTTCTGATGACCTTCCTGCCCTCTGTCCTAGTTAGAATCATTTTAAATGGGATGGGCAGATAACGACCAATGATACAAGTAGTTGGTTATGTGATGTTGTGCTGAAGGAATAATGTATTGTCCTATAATATATTTTCCTCAAAAACAAAGGGCTTACTTAGCATTAACATGTTACAGAGTAGCAGAGACTAAAATTCACCTGCTCCAAACCACTCATTTTATGCTTGAATCTTCTCCAGAATGTCTATACCTGTAATTTGGCATTTTTACTAACTTTAGGGGGAGGCTGTGTTTAAGTACATGGGCAGCTTTTCATACCTCCGTGTAAGTCCAGCTCCCCAGAAGTTGTGCATATTTCCACTGGATGATGTATTTTATTCCAGAGATGTTGGCCGCTTTCCATCGTAATGTCACACTTTGGTTTCCAATGGAGGAAGCAAAGGGTGCAGTGGGGAGGTCTGCATTTTCTGGGGAGAAAACAGGATTTCATTCACCATGTGCCAACGTTCCCACCAACGGTGTACAGGATTCTTCACATCCTCTGAAACACTTTTACTTTTCTGGGGGGTTTTCTTCTTTTTTTAAGAGTAGCCATCCTAATGAGTGTGAAGTGGTATTTCATTGTTCTTTTGATCTGCATTTCTCTAAGGATTAGGGATGTTAAGCATCTTTTCATGTGCTTATTGGCCCCTTTTATATCTTCATTAGATAAACATCTATTTAAGTTCTTTCCTTATTTTTAAATTAGATTGATTTATTTTTTGTTGTTGTTGAGTTTTAGGAGTTCTCTCTATATTTTTTGGATATTAATCATTTGTCAGACGTATCATTTGCAAATATTTTCTCCCATTCTGTTGGTTGTTGTTTTTACTGTAAAAAGTTTTAATGTTCATGAAGTCCAATTTGTCTATTTTTTCTTTTCTTTTGTGGCCTGTGCCTTTGGTGACATATTCAAGAAATCATTGCCAAGTCCACTGTTGTGTGGCTTTTGCTCTATGTTTTATTCTAAGATTTTTTTATAGTTTTAGGTCTTACATTTAGTTTATAGATCCATTTTCAGTTAATTTTTGTATATTAAGGATCCGGCTTCATTCTTTTGCATGTGGGTATCCAGTTTTCCCCGCACCATTTGTTGAAAAGACTGTCTTTATCCCAGTTGAATGGTCTTGGCAGCCTTGTCAAAGGTATTTGACCATATATGGAAGGTTTTATTTCCAGACTCTCCATCCTAGTCCATTGGTCTGTCTGTCTGCCTTTACGCCAACTCTGCCTACGCCCACTTACCTAGGACTTCCTCTTCATATGCACCTTCAGAACTGCTGCAGCCGACCTCACACGACTCTCGCTGCGGGAGACAGGTCGCACGCCGGTCAGGGCACACTTTGTACTGCTTGGGCTGATAAGCTTCAACTAAATTCTGAAATCTGAACACCTGATATATAACTGTATAGCAATTATTGCAACAGTAATAAACTTCCCATTTGCCAGTGGGATTAGAACAGCGCCTTTCAAACTTTTAAAATCATGTCTCAGATTCCAAAATACATGAAATGAAACAACTTAGTGCACACATACAGGTTGGGGAAAATGCATTCTAGAAACAGTATTTACTTTTCTTCCCTTTTTAAGTTTTATTGAGATCCATTTCATGCATCATAAAATTCACCCGTCTAAAGCACGCAGCTCAGTGCATTTTAGTATATTCACAGAATTGTACAATCATCACTACAACCTAATTTTAGAACAGCTTCACCCCAAAAAGAAATCCTGTACTTGTGATGCAGTTTTTGTTCTGTTCAGTTCTATTAGCCTAGTCTAGTCTAGTCTATCTTATCCCATTTCATTTGCTTATTGGGACTATATTCATTAAATTGACTTTATGACCCTTTAATGGGTCACACCTCAGTCTGAAAAAACACTGAGCTCAACAATGCAATTATATTTGCCATCTCGGTCAAAGGTTTGGTGAGCTAATAACCTAAAACTCTAGCCTAAAATTATACCTATTTATCTCATATACCCATGCCTTTCTTGAACAATTAAAAACTGACTATACTCTTTATAGTAACTGAACATTTTAATGGAGGTCTGAATACCAACATTAAATGTTAAGGTCTACAAAAGCACAATGATGATTAACATATCTCATTAACCAAAGCCGGAGTAAACATTTTTGGTGACTGAGACACAAATTTCCTGCACCTCTTAACAGATGTATTAGCGTTAGCTATAGAAAACAAAAAAGGAGAAAAGACACACATTGTAAAAGTACAACACAATCATGATCAGTCTTCCTGGTCTCATTCAACTTATAATACCTAGGACAACATGCTCTTGTTTCTCGTGATGACAGTGCACTTGCCCTAATCACCCCAGGGAGAGGGCTGCGATTTTCAAACACTAGCTGTCCAATATTTGATCTGTGCGCGCAGAGGAAGCAGAGCCTGATAAGCCCAGGTTTGCTCAGTTAAGGATTAATTTAAACACCTCAGTTTGGGCTCAGGATTATTTAGCCTAAGGGTTTAATATACTTTTCACATCTTTGCAGGTTTCAGTAAAATACATTCAATGCATTTATTATCTGTAAGGAATAAATATACCAAGTGGCAGCAAGAAAAAAAAGCTGAGGAAGAAGAAAAGAGATGGAATAACGTTTATTTGGAAATACAGCTAGCACTGACTATGGAAACACAAACTACTGGGCAGCGTAATGGATCCGAGGGGACTATCCCATCAGCCATCCAACCCGGGGCGTTCGTGAGGCTTGAACTCTCTCTGGCTTTCTACACACCGTCCTCCTGGGGCTCTTGTTGCTTGGTTTTGTTTTTGTGCCCGAATTTTTGTTTTTGTTTTAGCTCACTTTGCTTTTATCACATCAAAGGGTTCTGGTTTTGTATTTTTAATCTCAACCAGAAAAGACCTTTCTTTGTCTATTTACATAGGGGCAACTTTTGCCTCGCATTTTACCTCCTCTCAGCCAACCCACCAGCTTCCACTCCCAAGGAAAAACCACTCAGTACAGAATAATCACAGACTATTGAGAAAGCATTCCAATTTAAATGTTTTGTTTTTATTTCTGTTCTCTATTAAAGGGGAATTTTTCTCTTTTACTAATGGGTGGTCATTTGTACCCCTTCCTCAGGCAAGATAAGTTAGTTCTGTTTTCTGGTTTTAAGGACATTTGAACTGAGAAATAAAGTAGTTATAAATACCTGTTGTCAATAATCTAAAATGAATCCTGAAGAACCAATTAAGTTAAAGAAAATTGAGTAAAAAATGGTCAGAGTCCTAAGGTCTTTCTGAAGGAGTAGAGAAAATCAAGTGCTGGGGGAGCTGCCTGGGGAAGGACCTGGTGGCGCGAAGTGAGAGGAGCCCTGGGCAGCCAGAGTCAGCAGACTCCTTTACTAGCGTAGCAAGGGAAAGAAAAAAGCTGTGTTTCAAAATGTTGACAAAGGAGTTTGTCGAATAAGGGGGAAAAAATGCAACTAAAGTGTTCTTTTCTAATGCATTGTATTTAATGATAGAGCATATGCTTTATGGGGGAAAAATAAAATCAGCAGAAATAAGGACACTCCTGCAGCTGCTCCTGCCTCTCTCCCACCCGGGCTTCAGGAATTAGGTTTTTTCAAACCAGATCAGAGTAATATATGTGTATATATGAATGTGTGTACACATATACACACCTATGCCTCTTTATGTACGTCATATATATGCACATAGATGTACAAAACACAGTGAGTATTTGTGTCAGAATGGAATCACACAGTCATCTTTACGCCCAGAGTCATCCCAAGAGTGTCTCTGTGCCCCAGCAATGACCAGGTTTCTTCATTCCTGTCTCACCAGCTTTTGAACAAGGCATAAGGACATGGAGCTGGATGACATCCTTTCTATAGGAATTGCCAACTTACCTCACAAACTGTGGCATAGGTATCATTCTGCACGGGAAAAAAGGAAAGCAAAACCAGTTAAAATCTTTAAAGCTGTATATAATTTTTAACGACACTTAGCTCTACATTTCTTCCGAATAAATTTCTTATCCCACCATCGGCAAACAACCAATAAAAACATACAAACAAACAAAAAAACCTCAACAATTAAAAACAAGGGAGCCCAGAGCTGGCCCTTCTGTCCAGACAGGCCACCGAAGAAACAGCTGTAAAATTATGTTGTTTGTATCACTGAGAAAATGGGGAGCGTGATGCCTTCCAGAACGCCCCAGTCAAGCAATGAGTCATCTGTGATGGACCCAGTGAGAGAATGAAGGGGTGCTGGCAGGTGCCCAGGGGGGACAGAACCGGGATGAAAAGCACCAACTGCGGCAGCTAAGAGAGGCCAGCAGGCCGCACCGCCGGGCTGCCCACGCCCGCGCCCACCCTGCTCCTGGGCCCTTTCTCAGCACAGCTGGTGCCTTCCCTCCACCCGCTCTCGCCCCTCACTGTGTTCAGCGCAGGACACAGTGTGAACAGGACCGAGGGCCTCCGCCCTGACGGGCTCACATGCTGGGACAAAGCACATAACTAGACAAATCACCATTTCAACTGCCATTTCTAAGGAGTGCTGCCAAGGAGAGGCAGAAGCGTTTGCAGGGCGCGCAATGGCTCTGAAGTCCAGGCGGCTCCTGCCTCTCCTTCTGGTAACTTCCGCCCTATGAAGCACCCGGTCGTAACCCTGAGAGTGGGTGTGAGTGAGCTCCTGTGAAGGGGATCTGCGGGGACATCTATACAGGAACAGCCAGGAGGGCTACAGAGGAGGCCAGTGTCCTTATTTACATCTCAATGCTACAATTTGAGTAATTGATAGAAAATGATATTACCCAACGTTACCAAAACCTTACTGATTTAATCTGTGACCTGAACAACCTGCAATACAACCCACCTTTAAATTACACAGTTTTTATCTGTGCAATTGAGTAATTAAGGTGCATCAAGCACTGTCCTTAGAAGGGAGATTCGGTTATTATCCTAATTTAATGATGAGGAAAGTACAGTATCAAGGGTTAAGCACCTTACCTAAGTCACACACTAAGGGGCAAAGCCGAGGTAAATGAAAAAATAAAGTATCGGGGGGATGTATTTCCTACAGAAAGAGAAATAAACCTAGGTGCGTGTGACCTCTGGATTAAATTGCTACCAGGTCCCCTACAGAGATATTTTGGACATAACCTAGGGCCCTGCTTTCCAAAGAGGGGTCTGGAGCCCACCAGCATCGCTTCACTTGGGAGCTTGTTATCAATGCAGAGTCTCAGGTCCCTCCCAGACCTACTGAATCAGAATCTGCATTTCAACAGATCCCCCGTTAAGTGTAAATTAACATTTGAGAAGTGCAGGACCAGGAAATGAAGCAAATACCTTACATCCCACTAAACGGCCTTTCTAGGCGGCAGCAACTGGCATCCCTGGGGTTTCATGGTTTGTGTTAACCTTCCTTGGTTTCCAGTTGTGTTAGTAATGGTGATCTCAGTTTTTCCAGATTACTATGTACTCTATTTTCCCTTTAGAGTCAAGCCAACTAACTGAAAGCCAATGGAAATTCAAATGGGAATCCACTTAGACAACTTTTCTCTTGAGGGGAAACATTAGTATCAAAAAAGAAATATAGTTAATACTTACACACTTTAAAGCACAGTTTTCCTGATCTACAGAGTTCCAAAAATGACATCCTTGGATGCACTGCAAGAGACAGTAAGAGACCATGCATGGTGACTGAACAAGTGTGACTTTTTTTTGTCACCTGAAAGTGCAACATAGTAATAAAAGGTATTTGAGAAATAGAAATCTACCCAGGAATCTGTGGCCTCAAAAGAACCAGGATCTTTGGGGGTTATGAGCAGAGCTGTCCTGTCTACAGACAGCAGGGTGGTGTGGTTCACTGAAAGGTGGCAGGGGTGCTGAGTGGAGTTCAGTCTCTGTTACCCAGCACAGCGCCTGGTTCATACTTATGCTTGGAGTCACCAAATACTTGTTGAATAAATGGACACAGGTGCAGAAAAGTAATAAAACCATAAATCTAATTGTTGGAAGCAACATTGGAGACTGTCTCATCCAACCCTCTCAGATAACACATAATAAAACTAGGTCTCAGAAATATTAAGTATTTGCCCAAAGCCATGCCAATATGCAGAGTCAAAATCATGGACTTGGATTGGTCCTGTGCTCTTCCCACTTACACTATCCCTGACTTCATTTTTGAATATACCATAATTCATAACTATTTTTTATTGCTCTTCCCCTAGCAGGGACAAATAAATGAGATTTTACTTAGGAATTGTTCTTAGTGTAATAAAACCTGACCATTGCCCCTTTTTTATCAATGCAAACACTGCACAGTTCTTAACCATAGAAGGATGACTCACCGGTTCGCTCAGATTGTACGGCGAGTCACCGTCCAGAGGTCTGCCCTGCAATGAGGAAGCAAGCAGTAAACACCAGCTCCCAATATCGTGCTCAGTGATAACCACCCTGCCTTCATTTTAAAAAAGGGTCCTGGAATAGTGCTGCCTTCTCAGAGTTTTCTAACTGTAAAGTGAGGAGAAAAAATGTCTTAAAGTCATTAAGCCGGTCATGAAATCAGACAAAATGCCAGGACACATTATGTGATGCAACATCTAAGAACTGTGCAGAGTGGTAAAGGTGGGCTGGGGTGCGGCTGTAAGGAGGGGCTGCGGGCATTGGAGAGAGTCTCACACAGTATTCAACAAGCCTGTGACACTCGTCAGGTAATCAAGTCAGAGCACTCTTGGATTAAACAAGAATTATGTGCAGATTTTTCCTTTTTTAAAGCAATCTTGTTAAGAGCAGGAAAAAAAATACACATTGAGAATTTTATATAGCATAAAACATCAGATTACTCTTTATTTCTCACATTTTAACAAATTTTAAGATCTTTTTGTGCTGGGGAAAAATAAAAGACATAGGAACTGAGGGGGGAAAGGTCTCTAAAGTGTGCATTCTCTCCCGTTCCTTGTTTGAATGGGGTCCTTCATAAACAGAAGGGCTCACAAAGGATGGCGATACTGGGTCTATGATAACCAGATACGTACTTAACATTATGTGGAAAACTAAGTGAATTTTTCTTGTTGGAACGGGTCAGAACCTCCCCTTAAAAGTTGCTCAGCTTGAACCACTGAATCGGAGAAGTGATCAATCCAGCAAGGAGCACACCTTCTGTCCTTGGCTGACTCAGCATTATAAGCAAGACATGTCCCAGGAGGCGGCAGAAAATCCAAGGGGAGGGGAAGGAGGGGGGTAAGCATCCGTTGGGGACTTCTGAACATCCCATGCTTTTCAGAGGGAAGAAAAAAGATGTTGGTCACTAAGTTCACTGAGCACTCTCTCTCCCTTCCATGTAAGTCCCCTGTACCTAGAACAGTGCTTGAGGGTAACAGGGGCACAAGAAATGTGTGCTGAAGGAATAAACCCATGAACTCAGGGTGGCTGCTGCTTAGGAATGCTCAGAAGTCCTTGGAAGCACTGTCCTTGGAAGCACTGCCCAGGGCCTCGCATTGTGGGGCTGCGCTTGAGAAGTAATCAACTAGAGGAACCAAAGAACACATCTTGCCTTTTTTCCTCTCATTTGATGTGTGAATAAAGATTCCTCTAACCGCCATTCCCCAACCACTTATATATGTAAAGAAGGATGCCTAATATGCTTTTGTTTTTAGATGATGAATACTTGGTAAGAACTGTATCTTTTAGATTAATTGTGCAACTACGCGCTTAATAGTATTTCGTTTCCATGATTTTGTTCAATATGAAGCTTCTGATTCTCCTTTATATGCCTGAACCACGATCATATACAATTGAGTGTAAGAGAGTGAATCTGCAGTCGAATTTTTTTCTATTTCTTCAAAAAATCTGTTAGCTCATAAAAGCAAAAGGGTGGACCCTGGGTAGTTTTTGTGTTCCAGTATAAACAATAGGGCATCAGAGGTGTTTCTTGACCATAGAGCCCTATCGTAACAGTGCTGAGTCCTTCTGTGGGCAGCTCTCAAGATTAAACATAACAAGTGGCATCAAGAGTCAGGTGTGTGGGGTTCTGAGGAAGCATTTGTCAGCTTCCCTGATCTCCACTGGATCTCTGTCCCCCTCCTCTTCGTCATCACAACTAACAATTTGTGAGGAACTCTTCCATTCCAGGCACTCTTCAAGGTGTTTTACACTAAATCTCACTTAGCACCTCAACAACCCTGTCAGGTAGGTACTGTTATTAACCCCATTGTGCAGCTGAGAAACAGGAGGTGTAGTCAATTGCCCAAGAGCTAGAATTTGAAGGGGGATGACAGGAATTGCCTCCAGGACCCGAGCTCTTAACCAAAGCACCGATGCCTCCTGTAATCTGCCCCAAATTCACATTTCTCACTTTGGGAGCTGCCCAGTTTTCCTTAGTTCCACTGCTCAAATCATCAGCTTAAAACACAGCCCCAGTTCTGGATCTCAAGTCCTCTTACCCCACCACCTACTTCTTGGCACAAGATTTTCTATCCTGCCCACCTTAGCCGGAACTGATTTCATTTACTTCCTGCCCTAATAAATGAAACAGAGCAGGAGGATCTGCGTTTTAATCCCACTACTCCCGATGTGGTATTTTGAAACTTAACCTCTGCTGTCCAAACTTAGTATTCTCACCTGAGACAAAAGGAAAATAATATTTAATTCATGAAGTTCCATGGGGACTCAATTAAATAATGCATTAATTATTATGGTACAGTGCCAGGCTCTTAGAAGTCTCTTATTAATATTATGTGCAAACTTGCTATAAACAGCCTTTTGCAGACATATCTTTGGTTAGTTATGCAGTAATCTCTTCAGATAAATTTCTTGATGTTCAGGGTTAAAAGTATATTTTTCCTTTTAATTTTGTTATTTATTAACCCATGTTCTCTAGAAATCTATCAATTTACATCCTAACAAACAGTACATGAAAGTGCCAGTTTATCCAAACTTTGCCAACTAAATGTTTTTATCTTTGCCAAAGTGATAGACGAAAAGTTGATAATTCATTTTTACTGTGCATTTCTATGGTGTCTATTAAGTTAAACATCACATGCTTTTTAGCCATTTATAATTCTTTTTTTTGAAGTAGGCCTTCATGTTCTAAACATGTTTTAAATACTTTTATATATATAAGGGTTGATAAAATTTTATTTATCATATGTATTCCTTTTTTCCATTTTTAACTTTTTTCACTGTATCCTGTTTACTGTCCTATAGTTTAAGTTTCTAAACAGTCAAATTTATTAATAATTTCTTTAGGGATTCTGGATTTTGAATCAGGCTTCTTAAGACATTCCCACTCAAAGATTATAGAAATATTTGCTCCTAATTAACTTTAATATTTTATGGGGTAAAGTCTTTTTGTGTTTTTGTTATTTGTCTGTATTTAAATCACACCTTTAAAAAAATAATTCCTGGAATTTATTTGAATCTGATAGTAATGTAAGGAGTTGGGGGGTTTATTTTTTTAAAAAAACAAAACCTTTTTTAAAGACTATTTTTCAGAGCAGTTTTAGGTTTGTAACAGAACTGAGATCCAGCTAGAGCCTTCCCATGTTAACCCTGCCCTCACACATGCACCGGCTCCCTCATAACCAACACCACTCTCCTGAACAGTACATTTTGACTAAGGATCAACCTACACTGACAAATCCTAATCACCCAAGGTCCACAGTTTATGCTCGGGTTCACTGCTGGTGCTGGGCACGCTGTGGCTTTGGACAAATGTAAATGGCACAGAGCCATCGTTGCGGCATCACGCAGGGCCTTCTCACTGCCACAACAGCCCTCTGCGCTCTGCCTGTTCATCCTCCCCTCACCTCCCCCCTCCAAACCCTGGCGCTGTCGACCACTGATCTTTTCATTGTTGACATAGTTTTGTCTTTTCTAGAATGTCAAGGAGCTGAAATCGTACAGCACGTAGCCTTTTCAGCTTGGCTTCTTTCACTTAGCAACATGCACTTCAATCCTTCCGTGTCTTTTCATGGCTTGATAGCTCATTTCTTTTTAGCTCGGAATAACATTCTATTGTCTGGATGTGCCATGGTTTATTTATTTATTCACCTACTGAAGGAGAGAGCCATTCTTCATTCTGAATTGATAGCCCCACTTTGAATTGTCGGCTTTATGATATATTCCATACTCCCCTGTGTACATGGTCTCATTTCTGAGCTCTGTTCTGTTTTATTGGCCTGTCTACTCCTACACCAAGGCAAACTGTGCTCATTTCTGGATAGCGTATGGAATTTTTGGACTATGGTTTTGTTCCATTATCTTGTTATAAAGTTACATATTATATCCAAGAAAACTATCAATGTTTGTACTTTTGAAAACAAGAAAACCTTCTGAACTCTATTGCTTCCAACAGTCTTTCATTGAACTGAATTGATACTTCTAACAGAGTCTTCCTCAACACTAGTTACACAGTTGTTGGGATTCATTACTCAAAAAAAGGGTTTTGTTGCTGAAAAAGGTGAGAAAATTGCAATTAAACAAAGCCACTCATACGCTATTGTGCCCTGTGGTTATATAAAAAGAGGGTATAGCAAAAAGCATTTCCCTAAATTATTTGACCATGAATCTGTTTTGTTTCTTTTTCACAAAGGATCTCACAGTACCAGTGTTCTGAAGAATATTATGTTCTGCTCTCTGCAGCACTTGGCACATATAATTCAAAAATGTTAAGTCAATTGATGTAAAATACCCATGCTCACCCATAGAACTACGATTTGTGCATTTCTGGACAGCAACTTTGAACATTCCTTTGTATAACACTCTTTTGTTTCTTTCTAAAAAGCAAAGATGTCTCAATATCAAGAACCACCCAGTAAAATCAAAGATGACCTTCACAGCAAATGCCCAGGCTGAAAGGATGACACAGAACAAAAATCCAAACAGCATAATGAACTAGAGCACTCTGCATAGGCTTTCCCCTGGTCCCTGCTGTGTGCGTTGTCCTTTCACCCAGCCCTTGTCCCTCCGGCCCCTGCGTGGGAGCCCCAGATGGAGAACCTTCATTAGGGTCGCTAGTCCGACCAGCAGACCGTGTCTCTCGCAGTCGCCACCACATCAGCGGCGCCTTTCTCTGTAGGTGGTGAACGGAAGGCAACTCAGCAAAGGAACAAACTGTCTGCTCCAGCTGCCAAACCCCAAAATCAAAGAGCCCACACAAAAAGATACAATAAAACTAAACTTAACTAACAATAAAATCAAATAAATAAAAGAGATTATGGCAATACACCCATACGATGGAATATTCTAAATACATTAAAGATCCTGTTTCCATAAAAACTTCAGAGTATAAGGGAAAACTCATAATGTAATGTTAAGTGAAAAAGCTGGGTACACAGCTGTGTGTAAAACTATACACATACTTGAGGAAATCACACTGAAAGAAAACACAATCAGAGGTTAATAGTGGTGGAATTGTAGGGGCTTTTTTCCCTTTATTCTCTATTTCTTCTCTATCTTATAAGTATTTTACAATAAATATGTATTCTTGTTAAAAGCAGAGAAAAAATTTAAACTTTTTAATAAAAAACCACATTTAATTGTCCCAGTCTTCTATTTTTAAGTTTGAATTACAACTGCAAAAACCTAAAGCATACAGTTCCACATTAATGACAATGAAGCTTTTACCAAAGGTTTATATAAAATATCAAACTTTAAAAAAAAATACTATTATCCATGAATATACACGCTGTCGTTTAAATTCAAACAAAAAAGAGAGTAACACAGATAAATACCTTTTCTAATCTACCCTTGACTTCTATCTCCAATAACTCAGGACAGTAATGAGCATTGTATTTTATTTATTTTCATTATGTTTTCAAGCACGACTCTAAGCAGTGTCACATGTAAGCTATCATGCTATTTCCTTTGTCTTTAGATGAGTGTATCTTTCCCTGGCTAGCACATGTTTGGCTTTTAAAGTTGATTCAGTGACTGTTTTAAGTACAACTAAACCCCAATAACTAAAAAGATATGAAATAATATATATAGGAGGGCTGACACCCAGAAATGAGGGGGGGGAAATCATAAATTTAAATTTCAAAAAAATCCCTTATTCCTGAAAAAATTACAAATGCACAGATAGCAATAGAAAAATATACAAACAGCTCCTGCCTTTAAAATAAAATGTTGTTCTGTATGGCGTTGCACCCAGCGCCTTGGTCACCTACCGCCCCATACAATCAGACACCCCGGGTAAACAGCACTGATGTTTACAACGAGAAGCCATCGCCCTGTGTCCAGACCTATTTCATGCTTCAAGACAAATGTAAATGACCTTGCAATAAGTGAGTTTTAAAAGGATAGTTTTTTAAAGCATGAAAAACTGATTCCATTTAATCCTTCTGTACTCAAATCCCGGCCCTCACAAAATCTATGAACAGATAAAGAAATAAAATAGCCCTGCCCTACCTTCTATAACTATAAATGGTCCTAACTTCCTTTGAAAATTGAATCTTTCTCGTGAGAAAACTTCTTGTAAGGTGAAAATAATTCAACCCTTTCTAATAAGCTGACTTCTGTATGTTTTAGTTCCCGCAAAGGCAGATCGTAGACCAGTAAAACTTACCAGGTTAGTTACACATGACTTTAGGCAGCTGTTTAAAACTGTGCCCTGAGCCACGGAAATCCACACGCAGCCCAGAGTGAGGACGCGGGCAGACCCCAGGGTAGGCCGGGCACCGCGCTTCATCCCTTCCCGCAGCGGCTCCTCGGGTGACCGTTCTCACTCTCTCCATTTCGCTACATGACTTCTTTGGGTTTCATCACTTCGCTTGAAAGAGTGGCCAGCAGATTATTTTTTTTTAAATAATATATTTAGACCAAACTTTTAGTTTAGACCTTTGAATCCTAGATAGCCTGTAACATGCATATAGCATCTATTTTGTAACTTAGCTTTGTTTTACGCCCATAAAGAAAATCACCCGCTGACTAAAGCTGAGATCTTAGGAGAGCGCTTCTCATGGAAAGGAAACAAAGTATAAAACGCTCATGGCCTTTCAGCAGCATGTGACATGGGCGCAGTCTGAAACCCGGACGCTTCCGTGGGTCATCCACCGCTTCGCTGTCTTGAGGTTGCTCAGCTATGCGGGGAATCAGGTTTTGACCATCTATACTTTAGCAAACAGGAGCACTATTGTAATAAAGAATTATTAGAAAAATAGAAGCGCCTAAATCTAATGATGAGGCAGAAAAGAAAAACAGAACCCTCTGCAACCAAGAGCATATTTTAAAATTAAAAAGCAAACAAAGGTGAAATTAATACACAAATACCCCGAGGGCGAAGGGAAGAAGGGGAAGTTTGTGAGAGTGCTTTCAGAACTTCACTACACATTAACTAAAATGCTGGCTCCCTTATCAGGTCTAGCGAGACAGAGGGCCGAAAGCAGCCACCACAGGGACTCGAGGGTGTACAAGTGCAGCTGTCTTGAAAAGGAAATATTGTAAAAATGTCAATTAGCCTAGCATCAAGATAAAGTTAAGCTGAAGTTTAAACAAAGAATTTGGAATCTGCAAAATACAGCAGTGAGTCATTCTGGGTAACTACTTTTCAGATTGCTGAGGGTTAACTCTTTAAGGTCAGATATTTTTGTGTTGGTGTTCTTTCTCATGACAATCTAAAGTATCAAATAAACTTCCTTACCTTCTTAAATAAATGATACTAATGTCCTTAACCTTTTCTATTTTGTTTTAAACATGTTTTTATTGATTTTAGAGAGGGAGGGAGAAGTACAGAGAGATAGAGACATCGATGGTGAGAGAGACATCGATCGGCTGTCTCCTGCAAGGCCCCTACTGGGGATCGAGCCCACAGCCTGGGCATGTGCCCGGACCCGGAATCGAATCTGGGACCTCTTGGTTCACGGGTCGACCCTCAACCACTGAGCCACACCCGCTGGGACTTAATCTTTTCTGAATAGCATGCGGTTCTCATTGCAAGCAACACATGCATAAGGTTTTGTTTTGAGCTGACATCTTTTAGTGAATGTTGACAAAACTGATATACAACATAAAGATGAATGGTACTGACTCCATAATTAACCCCTAAAACAACTTTGCACAGTCCACCTATTCTTTGTTCATTTTCTGCATTTTAAAGAATGTAGATTAAAGAATATACAACCATTCGATTTCTTGGTCAGAGGAATATGATCCTCTTTCTACAAAATACACTTTTAAATCAGAGAATAATCTACTGTGCCTAAGGGGCTTTTTCATCCCAACAAAATGTACCTTCTTCACTGCATTACCAGTGCCTTTTACCTGATTAGCACAAATAATATTTGTAAACTGTTACTTCACTAAGAACATGAAAACTGATAGATACAGAATACAGATCAGTGGTTGCCAGAGGCAGGGAGTAGGGGAGGAGGTTGGTGAAATTGGGTGAACTGTGGTCAAAAAGTACAAACTTCCAATTATAAGATAAAGTCCTGGGGACGTAATGTACAGGATGATGGCTATAGTTAACAATTCTGCACTTATATTAAAAGTTGCTAAGAGAGTATACCTTAAATTTCTCATCACAAGGGGAAAAAAAAGTAACTCTGTGAGATGATGGATGTTAACGAAACCTATTGTGGTGATCATTCTATAATGTATACATATATCAAACCATTATGTTGTACATCTAAAAGTAACACAATGTTATATTTAAATTATATGGCAATAGGAAAAGCAGTGTCAGTGGAGTTATAGAAGAAATCGCTGATCGTGAGAATGTTGACACTGCTGTTGTTCGACAGTTTCTAGGTACGTAGCACAAGGTAAATGTATTGACATAATGAGGAAAGTAGTCGTGATGGAAAGGAAGATGTCCCAGAGGAAGTGACACTGGCCAAAAACTTCACAGTCCAGTACCTCTTGGAGATAGTTCATGACTTTGAAAATGCAAAGGATAAAATGTTGGATCCTGATCCAAACTTAGGCATGTGCAAGATATAGAAACGGGGCTCTCTCTGAATTAAGTTGTAGGATGAAGCAATGACGAGGAACAATCCTAATTTCCCCCACTCATTATTAAGATCACTTTGCATGGTTTTGGCACGCACAGTCATTTTTATTGTCCTGTACTGTCTCACAAAACAAGGATGGCCTGTACAGTAAGCCCCATGGATGGGGCATGGAGGGACGTGGGATTATAGTTTACAGGCAACTGTGGTTGATTCCTCAAGGGAGAAAAAGAAAGATTTATTCTTCACTGACTACCCATTTGTAATGTCTGAATTTTGTACAGTATGCACATATTACAGATTTTAAAAATAAATTTAAAAATAATGTTTAAAATACTCTGCACAAGGATTGGAAAGTAAAGGACTTATAAGCCTCCAATTTCACCTCAAGTTAAAATCAGAAACTCTAAATATATGACAACAGTTCAGACTAAACAAGTTCCCTCCAAGTGTCTTTGAACAAAAATTTAGGTCCTTGAATTAAAATGTTTATCCTAACAAATAAGACTGAAACACCTGTAAAATCCCTTATGATAAATCAACTTTCCCGTGGGATCAATTCTGCAATTAAGAGATCATATTTTAAAATAACGGCCTGGATCATAGATTGAGGTGGCCTTGAGAAAGGAGAAATTGTTGGAGCGTTCCTATGACCTACCCTGCTTCATTAGAATGAGTTGTACAATGGGTTAGCACAGAATAGATTTAATATGATCAACTATATCTGAGTTCGGAAATTACATGTATTGAAAATATAAAATGTACTTCCTCAAACTCAGTTGCACTCTGTCAGCATTATATAACTCCAGGGAAATGGGAATTTATAGTTGTCAAAAGGAGTCCCAGACAAGGACCTTTTGTACTATTTCTGGAGGGGCCCACGTCCACATTCAAGGCCTCTGCCATCATCTCTTAACTGCTTCATCAGACCCACTAGGAACTCCATCATGGTCGACCACAGCACAGAAGCTGAACCTTGAAACTGGCCAAAGACTGACACACTGACACCACCGGAGCAATAATTCTTTCTCTGGAGGGATATTTGGTGACATAAATCAAGGGGCATTCGTCCGCATATAAGTTCCTTGCCCTCAGAGCCTCTCACCTTCATGCCTGGGGGAAGCGATGGTGCCACAGAATGTCACCAAGGGAAATATTACTTACTTAACCTTTGAGTTTCGAAAGCCAAGCTTCCAGGCTAAAGGAAAGGAAGCTAAAAACACACAAAAGTTCCGTTTCTGGCCTGCAACTGGTTTTTGCTATACTATCATCAAGTCAAAATTTTATTCTAGCCTGGAACCTTGGTGGTTGAAGTGCAAAAGTGGGTCATTTGACACTCTCGTTCTGGGTGTCCCCTCCCTGTGGCTTCAGGAGGGAACCGGTATCCGCCAAGGTGGGCCTTTGGCCCGGTGTAACAAAACACGATGTCACAATGTAAAGGCAGGATCTGGGGCCTTTGGGAGTTCTTTTCATATATTTATTTACCACTAGAGCTCAGGGGATATTATTACTGTTGTTGTTGTTATTGTTCTGAGCCTTTCCCTGCGCTTCCAAGTCGGGAGCGCATAGAGTTCAAGAGGGCTTATTTTTAAGTGGCTGCTTTTTCTTTGTGTGCATTATTTAAGTTACTGAAAAATCAGCCCAGTGAAGAGTTTTTAATGGGTTGAGGGAATTCATGCTGTGAGAGGAGGTAGAAAGAAGTATATTTATACTTCTGTATATTTATATACTGAGAGACTGGTCTCATCTCCAGGGGTGGGCAAAAATAGGTTTACAATAATACAAATAAATAATACAATAATAAATAAATAAAATAATACAAGAATAAGTCACATTTTGCATACTCACAACTGTAAGTTTACTTTTGCACACCCTGTATGTATAACAAAACAGGAAAAAGTGGATAAAAATATACCAAAGTATTTTTCTCTGAGTGTTATTTTTTTTAAAAAAAACACCTGTTTCTTGATAATTTTCTTTATTTCACATATTGTCTAAGAGACATACACTGCAATGAGAATGTAGATTTCTTTAGACTGTGATTTCACAGCTAAAAATGATTGCATTTCGTAGCATCTTTCTTGTCTGCTTCTCTGCCCTCCTGCCCCCATAGCCCCCATCTTCTCCCAGGTGAACTAACTCACCCATGCCCCCCGACCCATCTGGGCTCTCAGTCCTCCCACTGCCCAGAATTTAAGGCACTCTCATCCCATAGGTGAAGACTGCATAGTCGACTTTGCTGTATTTCTCACTTTAACCATGTGACTCACTTCCATTTATTGAGTTTCTGCCCAGAGTATAAGATTCCGTAAACTTCTGCTAGACATCTTTACAAATAATCTGCTCCTTGACGCCTGACTCCCGTGCCCTGGCTGCTGGCTGAACTTTGGGCAGTCAGGCCCACTGGCCTCCAAGGTGAATACTTGCCTTCCACTTCCTGGCCCCCATAGAGCTTGCCCACAGTTTTAGGGTGACCTACCCCCGTGTCTTCCAGGCACCCAGTGCCTTCTTTACGCCTGTTCCTAAGAAAAGTCTTGCTTTCTACTGGTTAAATCTTCAAAGTATTTGCATTTTGGAGCCTTTTAAGAGTAATTGTAGACAGTGTCTTCCTGGAAGGTATTTCCAGACATTGAGACCGGATATTGGATAACCACTTAAGCATTTTACCTGAAGCTAGCCCTGAAGTGAAAAGTGCTTCAGTCATAAGGTGAAAGGTTTTAACAGCAACGTCAGGCTCCTGAATCTTTCCCCCTCTC